AGAGAGAGAGAGAGAGAGAGAGAGAGAGAGAGAGAGAGAGAGAGAGAGAGAGAGAGAGAGAGAGAGATGCATACCGGGAAGGTGGCCGAAGTCAATCGGAGAGGAAGCCAAAATCGACAAAGAAGAAAGTTGATTTTCGAGGACTCCAAAAGGGAGAGACGGGAAAGTGAGAGGGGAGAATTCAGAGAAACAAGTGAGAGCTACTTTCTTTTTCCATTTGTCCACCACTTTTTCGAATTCTATATGTTCCTTAATTTTCTTTTTGGGGAAAATGAATTAAGTTTTGTTTTCTATTCTCTCATTTTTAATGTTAAACAAATAATAGAAATAAAATCAATTCAATTCCATTTTTTTTAATTCCAAATTGATGTATCAAACATGTCGTAAAGATAATTTTCCTGGCAAAAAAGTAAATTTCAAATTTCAGACAAAAAAAACTATTCAAGATTTCAAGAGCATGTCAAAATATTGCTTAACAAATCTGAAGTTTCGAAAAAAAAATGTTTCACTTTTTATTGAAATCTTAGAAAAACTAAAATAAACATCACAAATAAGAAGTATAAAAGTTATGAAGGCATAAGGGCATAAAATAAACCATTTGATTAAAAAATTGATGTACATAAACATTTTAAAATGACGATTTTATACAAAAGTTTAAAAAAAATTAGTCGATGTAAAAACGAAAACGAAAAAGATACATATTATATATTTGTTTAAATTCATGATGGTTATTTTGGAAATGATGGTTGTTTTAGCAAATCCCCAAAACTAATACCTTTTATGGTCATTTTTATGAACTATAAATAAATGTAATTCATAAAAGACTTTTTGAATCTAGTTATATGGATTGTAACAATAATTTAATAAAAATATAATAACTATAACAATATATTTAATAATATAACAATATAATTATGTAATAAAATAACATAAAATTAAATAATTCACTTTTGTATTTGCAAGCTAAAGAGTGATTTTGGCCTTTTGCAAGTGATTTGCAAGATTATTGCCGTTCACAATTTTTACAAGATTATTAATTAGCAAGGGTCATGCCCTAAATTCTATAGACTAATTAATTGTTTTGGAAAATGGATTAGGAAAGTAGTTATCTATTTGTTTATATTTAAGTAACTTTTTTATATACTACATGATTAATCGATGAATTTATTAAAAGTGTTCAAATATTACTATCAATGACCAACTATTCTAGGTTAGATCTTACTTGACGTATACATGATATTTAGATGACAAATTAAAACGTGAAAATGACTTAGGAAGGTAATTATCTTTTTATTTTGTTCATATTTAGACAAATTATGTTCGTACACCAATGACCATCGAACTCGAGAAGTGCTCAAATGTTATCATTTGTAACTAATATTCAATTTTGATGATTAAGTAACTTTGTAATACATATTCGAAAAACAAACCACCATTGCTAACTTCATTGAATCTTGTTCGAAGAACTTGTATCAACATCTGCAGGTGTATGTCCTATGAACAAACCAACATGACCCATGAGCTTATCTTTTCTCGAAAACGTCGTCCCACAAGAACACCGCCATTTCACATCCCCACAGTGCTTCTCATGAGTCCTTAAATCCGAAAGCACAGAGAACTGCTTCTGTTGACACCTCTTACACGAATACATCTTCGGACAATGGCTCCTTTTATAGTGATTCTTCATGCAAACCATCGACTTCAGTGGCTGAAACTTCTCATGCTTACGATTCCATCTACACCCTTCTTGCGGACACGAATACTTTCTTGCTGGTTTCACCGTTGTGCCACCATTTAGGGGATTCGATAAAGCCGCATTAGACTTATATTCGTCTCCATGCGCCCTCATGTGCATGCGTAAATTCGCATCTCGTTTGAATCCTTTACCACACACTTGACAATAGTGTGTATATTTCGCTAACAAATCGGCTGCATCCATTTCTATGATGTCGTACCCAGTTCCACTGTGTCTATCTCTTTGAACCTGCAATTCTTTCCGCTTTTCTAAAAGATTGTCCTCGTTTCTCGTGTTAAAGTTAACGCTGCCGAAACTTTTCTCTACTCCTCCACCGGACCACTTAAACACGTCGTTTGGTTGGTCAAACTGGTGATCAAACTCATGGGTGTTGTCAATCTGGTTGGTAACAGGAGTACTACCAATGTTTTGGCAAGAGAACATGACGTTAGACGCGATCACGATTATTTCTTGTAGCAAACCGGCGAGGTTCTCCATGTTAACGGAGGTTGAGTTGGAAGAAGTCATGGATTGAGTTTGTGTTTGGGTGAAGAACATGTCGGCGATGGTTTGAACCTGCTGGGCTTTGTCTCTGAGGATCGAGAGGTTGAAGACGATGGAATCGTTTGTTGGTGATTGTAGAGAGGATGCAAGAACATCCTCAAACGTGTTTGAGAAACAATAATTCGGGTGGGCCGCCATTTGCAAAAGGTTGTTTTTGGTGGAAGTATAAAAGGAGGTATTTATCCGTTAAGTGTCAATTTTCTAAATTATTAAAATTAATGGAAAAAGATTAAGTCAACTTATGAGTAGAGTTAAACCCATCACCAATTACGACCTTCCTCAGATAACCCCAGCAACCACAGCGTCACAAATCATAATGTTCATTTTCAACTTATTTTTAATCAAAGTCGTTGTAAACTAATCCCATAGGCATATGTAGTTATGTAATTTTATTATAATTTCCAAAAAATAATGTCTACTATGAGAACTGTTTACATGGTGATTTATGCATGATCAGTTTAGTTATCTAGCTAGTTTCTAAAAAGTTATAATATGAGCATGACTGGATACGTGTTGTAGTATATATATAATTATATATGATGAATACGGTAATCCTTACATCAAACCTAGTGTATCTTACTGTTGATTAATTATTAATTTATTATGTTGACGTTCCATCCAGTGTGGCTAAATCTCAACGTTCACGTCACTAGCGTTTTCACTTTCAACTTTAGACAGGACCGATTCTTTTATGACCCGCTTTATAAAAAGGTAGAAGTTTGTCCGGCTCACGTGTTTAACAACATTGTGCCTATCGTTCTAAACTAATGAAATAATGTTAGTCATACACAATCCATTGAACTCACATCATCTTTTAAATATGTATGCAATACCACCCATGACCCATTAAACACCTATTCAGAGGCGGCTCAACCAGTTTGGGGGCCCTAAACAAACCAAAAATTTGAACCCCTTTGGCCATTAATATACTTAATGTTATAAACATTCATCTCTTATTCCGGCTTGGGACCGGAAATAACAAACTAAAAAGTTTATAAATGGCGGAGTTCAAAAAAATATTATGTTTCTGTTTTTTGTAAAATGCCTGTGAGTGCATATGCATGTTTTTAAGGGAGAAACAACATACCTTGACAAACAGACTTCTGCCTTTGGTGAGCTCGTCATCACCTAC